TGCCATTTCTCAATCAAAAATAAAAATAAGACAAATATAATGCATCTTAATTTCTACCCTTAAGTATATTCATTCAAAAATTAAAATTAAAAACAAAAACATGTCAATTAAAAAAAAAACATCCTCAAGTTCAACACTGCACAAAAATACACCCAAACTATTTGTCTACAAGTGGGGACAAAAGAGCATACTAGTATCTGGACCTTAAACTGGACATCAAGGATATCCACCCAATCCTCAAATAACCTTTGGTCAAATTCAGCCATTCTGGTTTTATTTCATTCATTCAAAAAAGCCAAATCCGAGTGATGGCGTTTTCCAGGAGCCGGTTCACAAATTCCACGAGGGGTGCGTGAACTCCATCTTGTGGCGCGCAGCCCACTTGGCATAGATGGCCTTCTCTGTGATAAAGCGGTGACCACCGCGTCGCTTGTGTTCATGGACCTTGTACATCAGGCACTCGTCTGTCGCCACCTGGTCGTAGTAATGGTACAGCACCGCACTGCGATTGGTCCGTCTGACCGCAGGGGGCGGGGCGGGACATCAAATAAGATACTTCGTGAGAGTTGAAGAATTATAAAAGTTGGAAACCTTGAGTGAGAATTTGGGGGAATAAAGTGAAATTTAGTGGGAATTTACTCAATTGCTGGTGGGCCCTTAGTATGAATATGAAGTATACAGAATTGTGAAAAAATCTATTTGAGCATACCGTAATCTGCACTACGACAAACACATTTCATGCAAGTTGAGTGGTAGCGAGTCACACTGCATACAAGTCTTGCAATGCGACTGACCTGCAGTAGTCGGCGTTAATCATCCCGTAAACTTGGATGCGCTCGCACATCTCCAGAGCCAAAATCATTGTGAAGAACCCAGTGCTGAGGTACGCTCCAGACTTGAATCTGAAGGAGAGTTCCAAGAAGCAAAGCCAGAAATATAAAACCCATTCTCACTTCATTTCATCAATAACGGTAAGGCATACCCTATTAAATTTCCTTTCGAAAAGCAATTCATTTTACCAATATTTTGAATTATTGGTGGTTGGTTGGTTGTGTTGTCTGAGTGAATCTCCTCAATTTACTTTTGCATAATTCATTGGCACAAGATGCCAACGAATGGCGGCAGAGTGCTACATTTGTCTGGTGAAGCTCCACAACTCACCTCAACATAGTTCATTGGTACCAGGATGCCCCTTAATAAAACTCCTCAACTCACTTCAGAACATTGGCTTTGCACCGAAGTACCCAGTGACGGCGACAAAGTAATACTTTTGTCTCAACAAAAACTCCTCAACTCACTTCAATATACTGCCTTGGCACTAAAATGCTTGAAGATGGCGGCAAAGTAACACAAAGCTCATCAGCTCACCTCACCAGAATTTATTGGCACCAAGATGGCAGCAAATGACTACTTTTGTCTCACTGAAACTCCCCTACTCACTTCAACACAGCTCTTTGGTACCAAAATACCAGAAGATGGCAGCAAATACATTTTTATTGCTTAGGCTTTAGCTCAAAAGAGCAGCAAATTAAGTTTTAATCCGCGAATGCCGAACCACCAACACCCTGGCTGCACAGAAATTGAAAATCCGACTGTACCGATTCTTCCCCGTTTCATTCTGAAAGATGTCATCACAGAGCTGGACCCTCTCCGGGGTCATGGCGTAGAGTTTAGCGCCAGGATACTGGGCGGCGATCCTCTGCAGAGCGTTGAAGACGGTGCCCTTCCCGTCCATCCTCATGTTCTTGTCAGGCCCCCAGAAGACGTACGCCGTGTCAGCCCCCTCTCTAAAGTAGCGGTGCCGGTCTTTGATCAGGCGTGGCACGCTGGTGTGAGAGACCACACGCACGCTTGTGCGGCCACCCACGTCGGCCTCGTAGCCCACCGTGGGCGCATCGTTCATGCGGATCACGCACGGGATTCGGTCGATGTCGGCGCCCAAGCCAGAGTTGCGCATCTGGCCGGAACTGGAGATCAGGGCGCACTGGTTGAAGTGCAGGTCCAGGAACTGGAACAAACACAAAAAAACAGGAGCTATATTGTGAAACGCAGCTTGAAAACGAGTATCTTGGCACCATTGGACTATGTTGGATTGTGTTGAGGAGCTTTATTCTGAAATAAGTGCTTTGCCGCCAGCCTGGGGTATCTTGGTGCTAATTAACTCTGTGTAAGTGAGTTGTGGAGCTTCATCTAAACAAAAGTAGTGCTTTGCCGTCATCCCATGGCATCTCGGTGCAAAGGAACTATGTTGAAATGAGTTGAGGAGCTTCATTCAGACAAAAGTAGTGCTTTATCACCATCTTGTGGAATCTTGGTACCAATAAACTATATTGGCATGACTTCTTGAGCTTTATTCAAACACATGTATTACTTCACCATCACATTTTGGGATCTTGGTGCCATGGAACTACATTGAAGCAAGTTGAGGGGGTTAATTCATACAAAGATGCTGTTCTACCACCATCTTGTGCAATCAAGGTGCCAAGGAACGAAACTGAAGTAAGTTGAGGGGCTTCTTTTGCACCAAAGTAATCCTTTGCCACCATCTGGTAGTGTTTTGGTATTCATGAATTGTGTTGACATGAATTGGGGAGTTTCATTTAGACAAAAGTAGTACTTGAAGGAATTATAAGAGTTTTTAGGGGTGCAGGCTGTGCTCACATCTTATCCAGCTGGTAGCTCACTGTGGTAAAGTCATGATTACAGAATTTTTTGGGGGGAAAACTTGTTAACTGTGTACCGTACGTAAAGCGAGGACCGCGGACTATACCTGCATCGGTTTGTGCAAACAGTGATGTCATGGACATCACTGTTTGCACAAACCTGCACAGTCCAGTATAATGTAAAAAGTTTGAAAGATGTCACCTGTTCCACCCTGTCTGGCCGGATCCGGACGTACCCCCAGAGCCCGTACCTGAGCCCCGCGGCGGTGGCCGGAAATGCATGGTCCCACCTGCTGATCACATGTCCGAACCACAACAAGACCGACAGGCTTAGGAGGCTGAGCACGCAAAGCCAACGCAGCGTCTGTGTGTGCACGAACACAAATACATACGTCAATTAAAGTTAACCATACAACACGACGAGCACGATGTGCACGTGATGCATTCAAAGACACTCGTTCTAACCGTATATTTCATGTCAGGGCCTTAGAAGTCCCGGGACCGGTCCCGGTGGGTGAGCGGGACTCATCGCATTCCCTTTAGTCCTTCTGTAGGGTTCCATGACAGCAGAGCTTCCGGTCAATGCAGGTGTTTTCCTCAGCAAAACAAAAGCTAGAGGACAAAAGTAAGCCGCCCCAAATGTTCCTTTTTTAGGGGTATTTACTGATGAATATTTGAAAATTTGTAATCCTGAAATTCCATTGTTACGCTTTGGTGGCGTATAGGAAAACTGAAATGTCAAAAAAGCACGTGTTTGGTGCAATACTTTTATTTTGAAAAATACCCACCTTTTGTGACAAACTGATCGTGTTTTACAGTACAGTAACGTGTCAAACAAAATTTACTTCCGGTAGAGTTATGTGAACCTTTGCGTGGTGAGTCAATACTGACGCCCCTGATTGGATTGGATAAATACATAACTAAAGTTTACTTTATCCAATTGGTCAATGGTGCGGAAGTACCCCCCTGTGCCCTCGCGCAATTGGCTGTCAGTCTTGTCAGTATCACGACGAACACAAATTTGTCTGCGGGATGGTTTTACGCTGCCTGTGACACGAGAATGTCCTTCCTTTGCTCTTCGGATGCCCACGGTATTTAGAAATGCCTTTCTAGTCAACATTATTAAGATGATAATTGGATCCCGTGTTGTTTTTAGCTTTAAAAGCCTTAAAATGTCCGGTGTGATGTTCGGTGACCGGAGACGTGAGGTAGGCTAGCTAGTGCTAGCTAATGTCGCTTACCGCAATCTCCACTTTTCTGGTCGTTTTGAACCGTTTTGTTTTTCCTCCAAATCTATTTGGTTGTAAGATAAACAATGTAAAGATGACTACAGACGTGGTTGGTTTTTAACTGCCTAGCTTGAGTTTTGCAGCCTCTCAGCATCGCTGTTAACATTTTGGCAGTGGTTATAACGGTTTCTATTTTAAAATGGATACCAGGCACATGATCTCTCTTTTAAAAAAATTGTATTTCCCCAACATTTTTTTTGAGTCAATTATCGTTATTAAATCTAACGACACACCAGCCCTTCCCCAAATGATACAAAGGTAAAGTTAAATAACAATAATATCGTTTTATTATGGTCACACATGTACTTATTTAGTGTGAAGTCTGAATATGTACATCTAACTTGTATGTAAAATCCATTATGATAAAAGGTGAGTGTACTGTAATATCTTAATGTCGTTTGTGTTAAAGGGCATTTTTTTCCCCTCCACGCAAAATGTCACGGTAGTTTGTGCTCGTATCTTCGCTGATACTATTGATGAGCCCCATGTGAAGTGGTGGTTTGTGGTGAATGATTTAACGACTGCATCAAATGATTATGTAGCATGAGTTCACGGTGGTGTACATGGTACAAACATGGGGTTGACACTTTATGGTTGTCTCTGTTTTAAGTCTTTTGTCGCCATCTTGTGGCATCTATATACAATTACATTTTTTCCAATTCGTGGTACAGTATAGCGTGATTAGCAAATACAGTATGTGGATTCATTGTACATTCAAATCCGTACAGAGGTATTTTTCGTCCCCCTATAGGTGATTATGGAATTGAGTGAATGGTGCTGAACACGGCCAGAGTGTTTATTCTTTCTTTTTCTCAGTACATTACCTGCTTTCTGGCGACCTTTCCCCCGCTTAACGGTCAATGCAACCTTAATTACCTCCCCTTGTGTTAATACCCTGTCTGGAGCTGCGGGAGGTTGCCTTCTTTACAGGGTGATGACTTTGCGCTGGTGTATTTTTGCCTTACAGGGTAACACGACAGATGACGGGACAGTAAAAGCCAAATCCCCCGAGCTTGGCTCATCTAGGTGCTTCAGGTGAAGGCTTTTTGGCGTTTCTTCGGAGAGCGGTTGCCACTCGCCTCACCCGGAGATGTCCTTGAGAAGAACGGAGGGTGTGTCCATTGCACAGGCATTGGCCATGACGGTCGCAGAGATACCTGTGTTCCTTTATTCCACATTTGGCCAGGTAAAGATGGTGACAACATTGGTCATTACTAAACCCCTTTTTTAGATTTAAAAATGTTTTTCTTATGGGTAATATGCCTGTATGTAGGTCTTTAAATCAAACAATGTATTTAACAGTATGTACTGGCTTGTAATTAAGGACAATTCCTTATTTCTGGGGAATATGGTGATGTCATTTTTAATTTATTGTTAACAAAAAAAAACACCAAGGTGCTTGCCAATTTTTTTTTCTAGTTTTCTGAAAACAGTTACGAATGACTCATGTTATTAGACTAACAAAATGGCAAAAAATCCAGAATCCGCCTTTTAGAAGCCTTATCTGCTCAAGAGTGGAATAACAAGATTGCAGCCTTAAGTGTACCAAATAATACCTGCACCTCACATGCCAAATAAAATCTTATCTGATCAGTGGAAGAATTGGTAGAACAACGAAAAGTATTTGATAGCTGCAGCGTTAGTAATATCTGATCATTTCCTCACAGTCCATCTTCTCGCAGCTGAGACTCAGCCCGAGCTTGAAGAAAGTGTTGTTCGCCACGGCGCTGGGCAGCGTGGCGTTGGCGCTCACCGCCCACCAACTGAAGCGGCGCGGCAGGAAGAGGAAGCAGGCCGTCCAGACCAAGGAGGACCAGGTGCCAGTGGGCATGCCCGAAGTGCTGCTCAGGACGGGGAGGCCGTCGTCGTTAAAGAGAGGTAGCTAGCAAGTCGCAAGGCTACGTTGAATACTTGCTATAGTACTTTTCATCATGACATCACACAAAAACAACTTCTCAGGTGGCTAACAACTGCACTAGTAAACGTACCCGTCAGGAATTTGTCTCTAAATTGGCCCGGCACATATTGTCATGAGTGCCCGTTTACCTCACTTAATGTTCCTTATATCCGTTTGATGTATTTGATCAGCGCATTAGCATCCAACTATTAAGGACATCTCTCCCGTCGATGAGTACGTTATATCTGACTATTTTCCCAATTTCCATTCTCATCCCTGATCAATGTGAATTGTTGCATGGAGCAGGTATTGAGCAGACGTGTCCCCCCCCCCTTCATTACTTTATGCGCAGTTCCGCTGACGGGCCGACAGGTGATAAGCCCCAGTACTCGCAGCAACGACACACTGAGCGGTATCTCCTCCCTGGCGCCCAGTAAACATTCAAGCTCCTCGCAGAGCCTGGCATCGGTAAGTTTTGATCAGTTAGGCGCTAAGCGCATGTTGTACTTTATGCACCCCTGATCAACGATGCATACAGTTACTTATGTATTTGACAGCCTCTCATAAAGAGACCACCTGATAATAATCGCTTTCGATTTATCCACGATACCTTTATCTTTCTGTGCGTCATTGGTATGTCCTCTGCCTACAGATGCGAGTCGCAACCTCGCCAAATCAGTCCATCAACCCGCCGGCACGCTGGGAGGCTGAGGAGACTGCGGCGGGGGAGCCGGCTACGGTCGAGGACGCCAATGCAGAGAATCTCTATTTAATGGGTAAAGTCATCCTTTCTGTCAGTAATCAAAAGATAGATGTTTTACCCCGCTGCGTCCCGACTGCAAATGAATTGTGTGTGGTTAACTTGTCATCAAGCAAGCAAGCATAAAGATTTGAATGGATAATCACCAAGCTGCCAAAATCCACTTGGTCAATAAGTATAGCCAATTTATGCCTGTGCAACAAGCTGCAACACAAATGCTGACTTAGCACAATTATTTGTCAGGCATGGAGCTGTTCGAGGAGGCCCTCCGAAAATGGGAGCAGGCGCTGCATGCACGCCACGTCCGCAGAAACCTGAGTGCCAGCAACAGCAGCTTGGCGGTGCAAGGGGCAGCGTGCGGGGATGTCCCCACGGTAAGGTGTCGCCTTACCGAAAGTAACAGCGATAGGAGTGTTTTCACTTGTGGATGCAGCACTTCATGCACTACACTGTGTGAAATGGTGCCTCGGTCAATCAAAAAACACAAATATTGCCACACTGTTAGCTTCACTGAGCAATCAAGTAGGTGCCATGTTTCAGAAGCTAATGATGTTGGCTAATGCTAATCTGTAATTTCAACAAAGCTCAATGCCGATCTGCTTAGCTAATGGTTTTGACATAACAGGGGCGTTTCTAAGTGGTAGTGTTTTATACGGTGTTCCCTGGCCGTCACTTGAAAACGGCTCTGCATCGTCACCCAGCCATGGGCGGAAACCCAATTTGGGGCAATTCTTTTGGAAATTAGACCCACTGTTAAATAAGATTAGGATGGAACAAACGATTTATTTGGTTGTGGCATTTTATTCAAGATGTTGGGCCAAATGTTTCATCCAGATGGAAGCTCACAACAAAATGTTTGCCGACAAGCTGGAGACGCTGCTGCACCGTGCATACCACCTGCAGGAGGATTTCGGCGGCAGCATCCCCACAGAGAGTGTGCTGGCTGACTTTGGTAGGACACCCAAAAAAAAAACAAAAACCAGACTGAAGATCCAAGATTGTTGCACAAATTAAACACATGATGGGGTTGAAAGGGTTTGCTAAATTAACATTTCGGATGGTTCCTACCTGCACAGCCCCTTTTAAGATGTCCAGAGAAAGACAGCGAGAGCAACAATGAGATAGAGACAGGCTGAGTAAGATAAACAGAAAGGGCAAGAGATAAATCGACACATAAGCGGTGACGGAGGGAAAGGCGACATCAAGTCCTCAAGACAAAGCGCAGATAGAAGGCGAAATACAGCCAACTTGATTTCAGGAATTGAGGATGCGTTAATATAGTCATTTTAGTCATTTCAGGTACATTGGGTAGACTCTTCCAGATCTGAAAATTCACCTTGATTGTTGCTCTTTACAATTATAATGTCAAATCGTACATAGGGTTCCAAACTTTACATTTATATATCTCTTTGGTGGCCTTTTTGGTCATGATAATGTTTTGGTTTTTTTTTAAACAAGTTATTGTTTCATGTATTGTACATAAATGTGCTGTCATATCCCCACGGTAGAAAGCGAGGGCACGCTTATCTTACCCCCGCTGGAGAGTTTCCCCGTGCTGCCGGACGACGATGCTGCCACTGTGTCATCCGAGGACTCCTTCTTCTCCGCCACAGAGGTCAGCTCCGTTTCATTGGACGTACTCACGATGCCGACCGCAACATGAATGCGCTTTGTGATATTTGATGTGTATTTTGCGGGTGTAGATGCTTGATTGCATTTCAATACAAGACCCCTACCAGCTCCTAAAGCCTGCCGCTCTCTACGAGGAAGCTTTGGCTCGCGTCAGGGAGGAACGGGTGGCCTACAGGTCACTGAGGTACTTAAGGAGGCACAAAAAAAAAAAATGACACCATTTATTTGCATTTTCCTCTTCAAAAGATCAGTGTTATTGTGTGAATTCTGAAGAGAAAGGAATAGGCTTGCCATTATCCACTTATGTTTCTTTTTTTTCCTAAACCATTCCTTTAAAGTCTCACAGTCTATATTTCAGCAATTCAGTTCAATTCTGCAGAAATTCAGTGCAGCTTCAGCTTTTTAGCATTCACACAAATTATATTCTCTAGGTTTTTTTTTTTAATTTATTTTTTTGATTTTGTGTGTGTGTTTTTTTTAATTCTTGCCAGGACTGAACTACTTGAATGTTATGGTGACCAAGACTTCCTGGCCAAGCTGCACTGTGTGAGACAGGCATTCCAGGTGGGTTTGCACCTTCCCAACCATCATTCCTGTAGAGAAAGAAGAGTGAAACTACTCATGAATACAAATTCATACATGTCACAAAGAGTACGTAATGCGGAAGTACAAAAAGAAGGTAAACTGCCTTGTGATAAAAGTTAAAAGTGCTCATGGATACAAAGAGAAGGGAAACAGCTGTGTAATAAAAGTAAAAATAAGGTGAAACTACTCATGAGCATAAATCGAAAGTAACTGCTGTTGTCGTCCCCCCCCGTAGTGACATTAACAACACTCACACAAAAAAGTCTTTTGGAGTGAATCCTCTCCTCACATTTGTCGCTTAGGTGCTGTTACTGGACGAGACGCACCGCACTTTCTTCATGGAGACGGGCAAGCAAATGATTGCCGGCTTAATGGTGAAGGCGAATAAGGTGAAGCGCTGTACTCCGAGTACACGACAGTGAACCTGCATTTATTATGAGGGTTGCGATCCAGAACCACCCACAATACAAGAAAATCTGCAACATCGAGATCGAACATATGTTGTGTTGGATATTACAGTCCGAAATGGGCACTTTACACTCTTGTGCCGGTACGTCCGCAAACTGGGGAACATCTCGTCATAGTCCCTCTCTCATTATTCATATAATAATCGTCCTCCATCCTCATCCTTTTAAAGCGCTAGGGACGACTAAAGGGACGTCCTTTTTAAAAAAACTTCTCGTCCTCCATTCCAAAATAGGCATACAGATGGAATGCCCATCTCTGGTTACCGTTAATTACAACCTTCAAACAACTGCTACTTAACACACACGGAGCCGCAACACATAACAAACAGACCTCACGACAGTACGCACAGACATGTTCTTTCTGCTGTGTGGGCACAGTGACTTTTACACAAGATTTGTTGGGGCCCGACGATCAGGCTTTTCTGTTTACTGTCAGGTAAACCCTACCCCAAAAAAAAAGCTTGAAAATCTATGATAAAATGGGGAAACACTTAGACTATGCGTTTTTTTTTTTCTTTGCGCTCAATAATGGTGATATGATATTTTTGCTCAGAGTCCTAAAGCGTTCCTGGAGAGCTATGAGGACATGCTGCTGTATACTCAGCGAGAGGAGACGTGGGCTGTCACCAAGATGGAGCTGCAGGGCCGCGGGGTGAGTTTCTTAGGCATGTTGTGGTCATCCCTTAGATTGCGCTTAGTCCAATCAGTGGACAGTATATAGATCGAGACAGCCCACGGGCACCAGATCGGTGACCCCTGAACTAGCGGTACCGCACTTTGGGAATCACTGCGGCATGAATGCATATTTATTTTAAAGGTGGTGTGCATGAGCTTTTTCGATATCGTACTGGACTTCATTCTGATGGACGCCTTCGAAGACCTCGAGAACCCGCCCTCGTCCGTGGTGGCCGTGTTGAGGAACCGATGGCTCTCAGACAGCTTTAAAGAAACGGTGAGTTTGTGATTCACACAGGCGTAGTACAATTCCGTTTGTTTTTTTTTAAAAGTTTTTGTTTTTTGTTTCAGGCTCTAGCGACAGCTTGCTGGTCGGTGTTAAAGGCAAAAAGACGCCTTCTTATGGTTCCCGATGGCTTTATCGCCCACTTCTATGCCATATCGGAGCACGTGAGCCCGGTTTTAGCTTTTGGGTTTTTGGGCCCCAGGCAGCACTTGAGCGAAGTGTGTACTATTTTCAAGGTGAGTACTTCTCAGTGCGTGTGGGTGGGTGGGGTGTTTTTGTTTTATTTCTTTATTTTTTAATATACAGATGAACAGAGATACATTATTGAGCGTAGATAAATGGTATTTTACTGAGAGATTTTCAGTGAAAGGGCCTTAACAGTGTGTCTTCTCCTCTGCCGCCATCTGCAGCAACAAATCGTGCAGTACCTCAAAGACATGTTCGACCACGACAAGGTGCGCTTCACGTCAGCACAGTGCCTGGCCGAGGACATCCTAAAACTCTCGCACCGCCGCAGCGATATCCTGCTGGGCTACCTGGGCATCGACGGGCTCCAGGAGCTCAATGGGGGCCCGCCCGGCGACATGCAGGGACCCCACTAAACTGTGTGGGGGTAGCATTCTCATTCCTCCTACTCACTCATCAGGTTATCAGCTACTATCAAGAAGTCCATCATGGAACTAAGGACGCGTCTCATGCTGGACCGGCAGCTGCTCAAACGTCACCTATACGTATATATCACACAACCGATTGCTGCTTGTTTGTGCATTTTACAGTAAATATTTACTCATTTCCAAGGATGACATTTTTCCGTTAATTCTACTTGATTCTTGTTGAACTGCAGCTATTTATTCCAGTCTGAACTGTGAGAGTGCAATCCGCACCATATGTTCTTCTGCTGTAGTCTGCTGGCCATCGTGCAGCACAAAATGCAATTATAAGTAAAACCCTCAGAGAAAGCCAAAGCATTTCAAATGCTTAAACCGTACGCACACAAAATTGAGGATATTTGAGGGAAGTTTTAAGATGAACCTAAAATGCACTGAAACCTTTACAGGTGAAAGTGTACAGGTTGAGGTTGAATTCATAAGGGAAAACAAAGTTAAACGATTCTCTGATGGATGATAGCTGCAATGCGGCTTTTATGTCAGTAAAACCTCATTTAGCCGGTCCCTTTAGCGCAGTAGTCATTGTCATAGTGGAGGCATGGGTTTGAAGCTCGAGAGGTGGGCTTCCATGGCCTTTAATCATGCCATATGTTAATTGTGATTAAGATGTGATAAACATTGTACATAAGAGATATTATTTTTCCCACAAAATTATATGAAGACTTAACCTGGCTTTATGGTTGTGATTTTTCTGCTTTCCCTTTTATTTATAGCTTTTGTCCACGTGTGCAATACGATTTTCAATGGACTGGGCCATGTTTGAGTAAGTTTAATATGCATAAGAAAGGGGTAAAGTTCCACACAAAAGTGACCGAGATTCGTTTTTCTGTGTCTTGCATGGTAAATTCGTTCATATATATTTATAGTCCACAAAATTAACCTCATCACATTTTATCTTATGCTGATGATTTGTAACTGCCAAAACACGGAGGGAAAAAAAATGTCGTTGTCCTGCCATGCCTTTTTTTTATTCTTTCTTTCCAATGCCTGTAAAAAGTGTAAATGGATGTTGATTCTCTGTATTAAATGTTATTTTTGTTTATTAAAAATACTATAACACTATTCAGATTATTTAACTAAATATTATACTCGTGTTTATCTTTTTAACTTATTCATTCAATAACTTCTCTATGGACTTCCGCTCGCCTCACCGTATGATTGGTTGGCGCCAAGCTCTTTCACGGCTCGCCATTGGTTGGCCTTGCGGGATGGGCGTGTCTCGTGATTGCCCGGTGGTTGTGTCCGGGTAAGATGGCGTTGGAAGAGCAGTGCTCGGCGCCGCCTCGGTGGCGATCCATATCGCTAACACACGTCGAGTTCGCAGAGGGTAAGTCGACTTGACGTTTTTGTTCCTGACCACCGACGCTCGGTTGACGGTGTCGCATCTTTTTGTGTCTCGTCCTCCTTGAATGGAAACGAGCAGTCAAAGCAGGTTTGCCAAATTGTGCGACGCGGTGAAGCGCAGAACGTTACCAGGGCTGCTAAATTGTGAGACAAAGCGCATGCGCACTCGGCGTCAATGGGCACAATGAAGGCTAGTGACTTAGCTTGTTGGATGAGTTGATATCGGCATTTATTTCCTATTCCCGAAATCAATACACACCGCACGCCCCGAGCTACTCACACATTTAATATACTGCGAAAAATGAAAGTCAAAGTGTTGTTTCGTGTGAGTAAACTGTTTCTTTGTGGAGTGTTGCTAACACAGACGCTAAGCTTACTGGCCTGATACTGTTAGCATTACTAGCACCAACCCCAATGAACAGCATGTTTCAAAGATTGACAATTGAACATTTTTTAAAAAAAAGAACTAATGCGCTGTGATAGTGTTTCCCCAAAAGTAAGCTCAGTGCAAAAAAAAAAAAAAAAAGTCGTGGGTGAATTTGTAATTGAGTCAGTATCCAGTATGTGTGTTATTCCTTTTTTTCTTTATTCTTTTTAAAGATAATTAACTAAAGAAATCACGAAATGCTGATTAGGGGATATACAGAATAAGCGAATGACTCCAAACATAGCAAGTGAAAGAATCACTCCCTAAAATGTTGTATTTAACTTTTTCTATGGTGGCCCTAGATAACTCCTAAAAAATAGCCACTAAAAATCCCCATATCATGACTTGGAAATGGAGAATAAGTGAACAATTCCAAATCCAGCCACTGCTACCTTCCCTACTCCCTAATCACCGTGCAGTGGTACCTTGACTTACAGCGTCTTATTGTCCTGTCTTATTGTTTCAGATGACCTGACAGGACACCTGCTTGCCTACATCAGTCTGCTGCCCATTGCCATCCTTGTGGGCTTTGTGACGCTCATCATGTTTAAACGAGAGCTGCACACGGTAGGTGGGAGTCACAAGCGCTTTGGTGCCCATGTGAACTGTTTTTGTATGTTGCAGTGAACTTTTGCCAGATCAAGGTTGATTTATTTGGCTGATGACATTCTATCATCTGTTTCAATAAGTTTAAATGTGTTTAAAGTATATGGGAGGGGTAAAGCTGTTCATAATTAAAAAAAAAAAGTGATTTGTCTATATTGTGGATTTTCTGTTATCGCGGGTGGGGTCTGTAACATCTCCTCTGCGATAAACCAAGCTCCCCGATACTATAACCGGCTAGCGTTAACAGCCTGTCTCCGCAGATTTCCTTCTTCAGTGGGCTCACCCTCAACGAGGGCGTGAACTGGATGCTCAAGCACATATTCAGAGAGCCGCGGCCCTGTGCAGGTACAGAAAACTACTGCCACCTTTTAGTATCACATCAAAGGAGCTACTAATGCCATGCAACACAAACATAACACACCCATACATAAAACACGTTACCTTGAAGATGGCAGTTCATGTAACCTGCAAGCAAGTTTTAAGAGAACAAAGGACAAAAGATGCCACAAAGACAAAAAAAAAGACCTCAAAAGCCAGAGTGAATTCTTTGATGCCGGCCGAAATGAGGCCTAGTGAGTGACATTGTCATTTGTGGGCAGGGGCTCACTCCACGCTGAACACCGACTACGGAATGCCGTCCAGTCATTCCCAGCTCATCTGGTTCTTTGTCGTTTACTTCTTTCTTTTTCTTTATTTAAGGTACGTGTGACACAAATGTGTGGTTCGAAAAAGTCGACACACCCCTGTACAAATCCTAGGTTTTTGTGACATAAATAAAACGCGGCCTAGGTATATCATTATATAACCACCCCACCGTTGTGGCCTGTAACCTCTGCAATGCAATGCAATCCAAAAAAAAGGTTTTCAAGTGGGTAAGTAAAAATGAAATTCAGCAAGCGTATTTATTTGAAGATAATCGGGGGGATTTTAAATGGTGGCGGATGTGTTCTGGTATTTCAACAAGGGTGTGTGGACTTTTCATATGAACTGCATGTATTGCATTGCCTGGTTCCGACTCAGACTATCTTACGTCGTGCCCTCAGAATGCATCAGACCAACAACGCTCGTTGTGTGGACCTTCTGTGGAGACATGTCCTGTCCATCGTCCTCCTGGGCGTGGCCCTCTCCGTCTCCTACAGCAGGTGTGCCCACCCCCCGCACTTATTTTTCAAATTGCACAACATCCGTGTGCGCGCCTCGGCTCCGCTTTTGTTTTTGCCGCGTTTATTTGTAGCTTATCGGTTTGTGGTTTCCAGGGTGTACCTGCTGTACCACACGTGGAGGCAGGTGTTTTACGGTGGCGTGGCAGGCAGCGCCATCGGCGTGGTCTGGTTCTTCATCACGCAGGAGCTGCTCACCCCGTTGTTCCCCAAAATAGCAGCATGGTAAGACCACTGAGACATTTCTCACGAGCGGTGTCCCAATGGATTAGTTGGTTAACAGCGAACTGCTCACTCTCAAGGGCTGACACCCACATCACTCACCATTCGCCATTTAAAACCAGACACACTCTGTCACAGAAACTACAGTAGAATGTGTGGATGGTGACCCCAAGTGGATAACAATACCTACATGTCATAAATACAATTTTTAATTGAATAAAGCAAACATTTTGGTTTTTAATTCCATAGCTGCAGCCCTAATTTTGGAAGATATTTACATTTTTTTTTATATTAATAATTGAACATTTTCAGGTCATGTCCACAAACGTACTTTTTTGTTTTAAACCATTGGCAGGCCTGTGTCAGAATACTTCCTGGTGCGCGACACCAGCCTGATTCCCAACATCTTGTGGTTCGAGTACACTGTGACGCGCTCGGAGGCCAGGTAAAGCTCACCACAACCACTGCAACACCGCCAAAATTTTTTTTTTAATGTTTTCTCCTTTGTCGCGTGTTTCAGGAACAGACAACGAAAGCTCGGAACAAAACTCCAGTGAACCCCTCACACGTATTTTACAGAAAAACACTGGAGGACTTCTGGACTCGGGTTGCCGAGTAGAAAAAAAAAGGCGGCGTGGCGGTGGCAGTGAGCTTGTACACACACCCTGCTTGTCGACACACACACACACACACACACACACACACACACACACACACACACACACGCACACACACACTTCGTCCTTTGTACAGCTCCTCCGTGCATGCCACACCGTGCAAGAGGCCAAGTATTTAAACGATAGATGAAATACTTGAACTTAACGCACGTTGATGGGCCACCGTTCTCCCAGGAGCTGAAATGGAGGTTTTCCTTCGCAACAATTGTTACACTGTCATTGCAGCATGATTTTTTTTTACCTTCTCCATATTCTGACACGGCCTGACTTTTTCCTTAACCTTGAAGACATTTTTTGATTGATCATGAGAAAAAAAATGCACTTTGGTTAAAAAAAAAAACAAAAACAAAAAGGAAGCAACTAATTAATGATCATTAAGTTAAATGTTAAGACATCCCCAGTCCTTTTCATCGGTTTTCTCAGTCCCATCTATGATTGTCATTGTTACACAACTTCAGCGGTGCGTGCTCAGTTTGCGACGGAGTTTTGTGCCTGCCCGCAGCGGTGGCGTAAACTCAAGTTGGACGTTAAGAAAGAACACAGGTTACGTGAAGTTAAGCGGATGCAAAAATCGTAATTACAGTGCGTTCAATTAAATTCCTGTTCATTCCCTATTGTTTCTTTGTCAAATTACCAATCTGTGCAGTTCATTTTTTTTTCAATTTTACCCTTAATGAACATTTGTATGTAAATCCACGTTTACGAAAAATTATTGGTCATTTTTGGACCAAGGTGTTTTTTTTTTTTTTTTTTTTAATGCCTCATTCACGTCGTAGCAACCTGGGAGAAGAATTCTGGGACTTTTTTTTTTTTAATCTTTTTTTTTTTATGATCATTTCCTTGTTCAGATTTGACTTTTGCTTTTTGTTGTTGTTTTTTTACAATTCCGAGACAACATTCCATGTCTTTTTCAGGAGTGCATGAATCTTGACTGCAGGAGTACTTTTTCTTGTTTTTATCATTTTTGAAGAAAGGGAAAATATGAATACAAATCCGTAAAGAAGGTTGGTCGTAGCATGTGATGATGTGGAATTCCCTGGAAATTCATGACCACTGGCGATTAAAGTGTCATATCATGAGAATCAAAAAGGGAAGTCGAATTATCTATATTTTTTTTCTTGTGTATTCTATATCAGGCTGAATAAACGTGTTTACGTACAAAGTTATGTTTCCGGTGTCACATTTGAAATAGAGTCGGTGTCAGCCAAGGATGAAGTGGAGAGTTACAAATTATTTTTTTCATCAGTCGTTTGTGAGCTGTCCAAATAGTAAACGTTATTAAATAACCATTCATCCTTTTACAATAACTGGAAAAATGTTGATGATTTACTTGCTTGATAAGAATCCTCTGAAAAAATTGCAGGAAATTGACACGCTTCACTTGATGAGAATATTGAAAATGTTTGCAGTACAAAAATGTGGAGTTCCCCAAGACTGGGTTTGCCTTGGACCCCTAAACAACATTTGATGGCCTCAAAGCAGCGATTTGATGTCGAACCCAACACAGGCTGCGAGGGGACTAACTTGTACTGTACATAAATAGGAGTGCAGAAGCAGCTCGAATCACAAGAACTGGAAATTGGAATGCCATGGCATACCACCAAACCAAAAATGTCACCAAAAAAT